GATTACTCTGTCCCTGATTAATTAGTATATTAATAAGTAAAGAAGGCAACATGGATTGAGAACAGTGTCAAACAGTGCAAAAATTTCCTGTCACTGTTATATGTAAGTGTATGTGAATGGCTATACTGGTGGCACCTCTTAGAAATCTTAATTATAGCCTCAGTCCCGTGCACTATCACTGATTTCATTGCTTTGAAGGCCTACTTTAGTAAATTAAACTAAGCATGTGAGCATCGGGGCCTGTAAAATTTTACTATGTGTTAATTTGAAATGTGTGTGTTTTTATAGATGTTGATTGCCTTTTGGGGATGAACCTGTGAATACCAACCACCATAGTAATTATATTTCACTTTCTATTAATTTATATTTGTTCTTCTATTTTTGGTTTTCTTTTATGCCCCTTTAACCTTTTAATAATGGTGGAGAAAGAAGTATAAAACAAAAAGAAAGTACTCTAAATTCACAAAAATATTTTCCCCTCCAGAATTATTTTACTGCAGAATTTGTGCAATTATATAATCAGGGCAGAATTTATTTTTCAGGTTGTATTGTGTACTGGTACAACAGTGAATGTCAAAATCACTTATTAATTAATTTGGTTTTAGTACGTTTTTGATTTTGTTAAAAGTGTTCTAAAGTTGTTTTTGCGTTCACTTCAGAGTACGAGTTCTTCTATCACTGCTTAATCATTCTCATTTGTTTAAAAAAAAAAGGCTTTTGTCTGTCAGTTTGCTGTTTAAAATTCTGTGAAAAACATCTGCTAGTTTAGAATTTAAAGTTGCATTTTTCTGCAAACAATAGAATCAGCATCAGTACGGAAAGAATTAAACAATAAAGTTGCATTTTTCTGCAAACAATAGAATCAGTACGGAAAGAATTAAACAATTATTTTAATCTTTAATTTGGCTTGTTTTGAATGAAATTGCTATTTCATTTTATCAGAATCTGTAGAGATAAAGAGATGTCTAGTTAATGAAAGAGCACATTTTTACAACATACATAAGTATTGCTAGGTGGAGATAATTTATGAAGAGGATATTTGAAGATTAAGAAATCATCTTGTATGTTGCGTTTATGTCACTGAATGAGCATCTCCAGTGTGTTCACCTAAAAATTCATTGTGAAAATCAGAAGATAATTTATATACTCATTGTAAACTAATGAATGAGAAGTGAAGCACATACTTGAAGTGTTTCAAGAAAAAAATACTGAAGGGTCCTATATGCTTCGAAGTGGAAAACTTAAAATATAAAAGGTGGTTGGTGGTAATACTGAAAAAAGAATAAGTGATATGGAATAAAATTTTACTGTGATACTTCACCAGTGTTTTAATTTTTGTTCAGTGAAACTTGTTTCTTGTAACTGAATTGGATATGCATGCAGAATGGTGTTAATATGTTTCAACTTACTAATAACGATGTTTGTCTTCCTGAGGTTTAGCCTGCCATCTTTCAATGGCAAAGTGCCTGTTGATATTCCTGGGAGTTCAGGCAAGTGCAGTGCAAGGCACATTAAATAGTACTTTTAAAATTATGTGCAGAAGTAATAAGAATATTAAAGTTGCAGAGTTAAGCACCAGAAGTTGCACGTTCCAACCTTAATGTAGTCTTGTTGTACGTATACATTATGATAATTCTGTTCCTTGTTATACTGAAAATCTGTTTCAGATTTTCTTAAATGCAAGATTGTCATCTGTCTTTTTGCCATTCTGTGCTCCATCTCTTGTCTCTCACATACATTGAAAAGTTAAGTACCTTGAAGAAATACTCTCTGGTCATGTTGTAAAAAGCTGTACCACAAGTGATAGGCACTGAGGGATCAAATCAACGCTACATGAGAAGCACAGTTGTCAGCAAAATACTTTAGTTAGTGGTTTGTTTCTGTTTCTCTCCCTACAATTACACTGGGGCCCAGATAGCAGCTACAGAATTGCTTGCAGCTTCCCAGTAGAAGAAATGGGAACTAAAAGTAACACGAAAAGTAGTCTGAGTCTGAGTAGTTTTGGAAAGATGCTGCCTGATAAGGTTCCCTGCAAGAACAGTGAAGAAGATTCATTGGTTCTGTAATTGCTCTGTATTTTAAATTCTGATTATATTGTGATGGCCTAGTGGTGGACTGGACTTCGCATATTTCAGGATAGAGTGTATACATTTGTGAGACTCATTATTGTTTGCAGGAGAGGGAAGCAGGTTGGTTTTTATTGTATGAACTAGTCTCAAGGTCTGAGGCTTCCTATGTTTCAAACTATTATCCAAGTTTTTAAACCAAAGTAGCACGTAGCATTCAGAGTACCGGCTGTGTGTTTTCAGTGTGCTGGCACGTGGCTCCTACCAAAATATTTTCAATGAACGTTTTCTGATCTTTCAAAAAGAAAAAAATAGTTGCTATCCCTAAGTATACCTGGATTAGATGCATGGTTTCTGAGTTGCTGTTAGCATGTTCTCTTGGGTGGCATTTTTCTGCTATCCCTTTCTCATGAGGTTGTCTACTGCTTTTGCCATGGTCATTGCCAGAATTCTCGTGTAGAATTCTTACTCCTCATATAGCTCATGCTGTGAGTACCTCTAAATATTGGTATTTTAAAATATAATTATATAGAGCTACTTACACTTACACAGTCACAAACGCACACGTACATGTGTGCACGTGTGGGTGTAAAGGAGCTGATTCTGAATTTTGGAATTACTGATGGAAGTAGCAGAGGTAAAATTGTTCGTGAAAACCTATGTTTGCTTTCTTGATACTTTTTAATAGAAATCACAAAACTCCAGTGAGTCTTTAAAGATCCTGTCATGGAGTCGTCGTCTGAGAATTTCCCTCTGCATTTCCGTGACAACTGAAATCTATGGATGTATTCGTGGGTTCAACCCTGCAGGTTCAGCATCTGGCTGATGGAAGCAGAACATTTTCACCAGAGGTTCTTGCACTTGGAGTTTGCTTCCTTCTGTGGGTCTGTGTCAAAACCTGACTGAGCCTGTTTAACTTGAGGCAGTGGTGTAAAGCCCATCTGTTCCTTGAAACTTTTCCCTGAAGGAGTGATCCAGAGTGTATTTATGTTCTCAGCTGTGGTTGTGCTTTTTCAAATACTTAGTCGATGCTTTTCCGCTGATTTGTGGTTTAATTTTTTTAAAGGTATAGTGAATGGATGTATTCTTAAAGCAGATTTTAAGAATGTTGCAGAACATCTTTAACTATCTATCTTTAACTTGTAAAAACAGTGAAGAACTTGTGTCCCTGTTTACTACAAATGGCGAAATAACATTAATGAACTGCTGCTGTTAAAAAGAATAGCGTGTAGAGAACCCACTGAGACTTCTTTTGCATATTTTAAATAGAACAACAGTCTCTGGAAATAAGTGAAAATGCAAAGGACATGTGACTGAATACTTTAGCACACCTGGTTTTAAAATATTCTGACAGTATAATAGGTTGTTACATTCTTTAGAGGGGAAGAGTACTAACGGTCTTGCAGATAGTTTCACTATCTTTGTATTCGAACTTGGAATTACCAATTTAATTTGGTAGGTGGCCTATGTGATAAAGCAAGGTGACATTCAAATTCTAATCAAGATTTCCTTCATGAACCTTTGTTGAGTGCTCTTGGGGGGAATAAAGTGTACAGTTAAGTAATTAAGAAAATTAAAAATAAAAAAATAATATTATGAAACCTTTCTCTGGATGAAGAGATTGCGTTTGCCTGCAACATCACGACTTACTGTAAGTGGTGTAGGTTAACATTTTCATAGGAGGAAAAAAGACAACATTATTACGAAGATGCTTCAAGTGCAAATATTGGGACTGAATTACATTCATTTGTTCTTGTAGAATGTTTGAATGAATAATTTCATTAACTGAGGAAAATACTGAGGCTTGTCTACATGAGCAAGCTATCACAAAATAAGTTATGGTATGAATTTAAAGTATAATAGCTATTCAGCACTAACTCCTTATATGAACAATTTTATTCTGTACTACAAATGACCTTTCACAGTTTAGTTGACTGAAAAACATGCAAGTTCCCTCCAGCCCCAACGATGAATAAATATTTATGTAGGGAGTTAATGCAGAATAGTTACTACATGACAAAATTAAATTGTTAGTTTATTCTGTACTCCACTGGCCTCCTTAAAAACATCCTTAGGAAGTATAGTATTACATTACAGATGTATTCCTACAGATACTTGCATGATGTATATGGACTTAGAGCAAAATGTATTCCTTCTGAGAATATTTGTGAAAAATGTTTGAACTGTTGACAGTATGATTCAGTTAGAGACAGTGAGTCCAGTATGCTTCTCTGGAATAAAAGATGATGGTCATGTAAATTTGCTTATTGTTATTTGTAAAATAAATTAATAGACTTATTGGCTGAGTTAGATTTACTTGGTTTAGTTGACATATAAGGACTAATGATGTTAAGAAAATGATGGGATTAACAGCAGCTGGTATGTTTAGGATTCAGTTATAAGTCATAAATAACTTATTTTCAATAATGGTAAAATCACAAAATTACCTTTATTCTCTTACATAATATTACGTGATTATGACAAAGCTAAATGCCTATGTGTCGTTGCTTATGTAATAGGTAAGCAAAATAAATGACCACAAGAGCTGTGCTATGTCCAGCAGCTTCTGAAGATGGCCACTGTTCTGCTGCCTTCTGGTTTTCTAACAGTGAATTCAGGACACAAATAAGGAAGCCTTCACATGAGAGAGTTGGAAAACGATTGAATGTGTGTATCTCTTAAGGCACATGAAGACAATAACATTGATTGTGTATTAATGTATTTAAATATTATATGCATTTTGGCTTTTCATAAAAATGTAATTTCAAATACTTCAATTTGCTTGTTTTGCAGTTTTTATCAACAAGCTACTTTTGTTCTAAAATAAGTGTGCATTATTTTTCAGGAGCTTTGATTATATTAAGATTTATTGTCTTAAAATTTATCTCTATGCATTTCCTAAATATACTTTCTTTGGTTCTACTATTTTCTAAGAAAATAGAAAAACTAGGATTAGAGCTGAATGGAAACAAACAGCGTTTGGAACAAGCCCAGCAGGATGTGACAGGAGCCAGAGAGGAGTGCCTAAAGCTGACAGAACTGCTGGGTAAATCTGAGCACCAACTGCACCTCACCAGGTACCCCTTATCCTATTACATGCTGTAGTACCAATTTCATTCTGCTAATTTTTTGCCACAGGCTTCCCCACAGTTGTTAGATACTTGTAGTCGTTGACTGCATGGGCAGCCCTCAGTCGTGTTGAAAGTGGAGATTTAAGTAAGTGCATTATGAACTACAAAGTGAGTTATGAACTGTAATTTGTGAAAATGAATTACTAGTGTGAAGAAAAAGGCAATGTTCAGCTCTGGTGATGAGGTCACACGTTTTTGGGCAGGAAGAGCAGCAGGGGAGAATGCAGCTACATTTTTGTCGTTGTTGCTGTGTTTGGTAGAACAAAGACATTTCAAATATCATTTGAGACTAGTGTACAGCAGCACCTTTAAGTATAGGGGTTCTCAGATTAATCACCTGAAATTCCTATAGCAGAATGACCAGGACTGTATAAATGAACACAGTCGTGCTAAGCTTCATTGAAGATTAAAAAATCAAGAGGTAATATTACTGTCTATGAATAGGAGGTAAGCTCAAGTATGTGAGGAGGGTGTTCAAGTTACTTGCTCAGTGGAGACGTGGTACAGTGCAAACACTGTGTGACAAGAGATTTTGCCTGAGCTTATTCCATCCTTGGATATACTTTCCAAAGCCAATTACTGTACTACTCATTACATATTTCTAGAAAACACGTGAAGGTTAACATACATATTCACTGCAGCTTGCGTTTTGGTAACTGCAGGAATTTTTCCTTTTGCCACAGAAAATGCTGTTGTGTGACTGTTTGCAGCGTTTTGGTTGTGTCTGTGGGTTTTGTTTCGTTCTGTTCCCCCCTGCTTCCCCCAAGAGTGAACATCCAGAAACAAATCTGGTTGCTTTTACTCAGTCCTTAAGAAAAAAAAAGTTAAGTTACTTTAAATTTTACATGGGGAGGAAAAAAACCCTCAGATTTTTATCACTTAACAGAAGTCTGTGTGTTCATCCAAGTCTTTTACTCTTTGGGCTTTGTGCGAATTCTGCCATTGAGTAACTGGAAATAAAATAGAGCCTCGCCTAAACTATTAAATTCAATGAATCGTTTTTTTATTCAGCTACATTTCTGTGTAATTCAGAGCACGGTTGTTTAACAGATGGAAGAAAGTACCACTCTAACAGCCTGTATTTAGAGAAAAAATATGCTAGAGGTTAATGAACTTGAAAAAAGTTTTGGGTGAGTTGTTAAGATATCTAAAGTTTGGATTTAGCAGAACTTTATTAATAATGATTTGTTGTGATAGTTAACCAAATGGCTTACCACGCTCCTTTTAGCAAAAGGCTGATTATATGCGATAAAGCTCTGGATATCTTGGAAGAAATCTGACTCTTTTGGCAATTTTTTTTTTTTTTTTTTTTTTTTGTGAAAATACTCAACTTGTAAAAACGAGGACTATTGCCTACTTTTACACAGCAAGGTACTTAAAGCTGGATACCTAACATACAGATGATTCAGGTAGCTTTTCAGTCTATGGTCTCTGACTCAGGGAGTTTCTGAGACACAAATCGCTGGAGGCTGGGAACAGTATTTTGGGCGAGTAATGCTCTGTGCTCGCGCTGTTCTCATACAGTTTCACAGATATCTGCTCTTTGAGCCAGATGCTGAACTGCCACAGCTTCTTTGTCTGTCCTAGTGCAGCCACTCTTCTGCAATATACTAATTTTTATTTTATTTTTTATACTTTCCATTCATGTTATGGCCTCTACTTATAACTATGCTTATAAAGAATGAAATGTTTTCTATGCTGACATCTAATTGTCAGAAAAATGTATACACTGAAGCATGGGAAATAGGTTCAAATCTGTCTCCTTGATATACCCCAAATTTTGTAATACTGGCGGGTTTTTGTCTCCTCCTTATCTTTGGAGTGTCTGTCTGCTTTCTAGGAATATATTAGGTGATCTTGCTGTCATGGGTGAAGAAAGGGGGCAGAAGAGAGGAGAGATTTGTTGCTCCTGAACTGTTGCCTGTTGTCCTCATGTACATGGATTGGTAGGGCAGGGTTAGAGATGTTCTCACATAGTCGTCTGTTTTCCCTGAGTTGCGGAGGAAAAGATTCCCTACTGAAATGAAACTTTTCCTCAGCCTGTACTCTTTTTCTTGCTTTTGGATCACCTCCTGCCAGAACAGGTTTTCTGTGTTAGTGAAGGTATAGGTGTTACATGTCTCTAATGGCATCGGTTTTGCATTTTGAACTTGGTATGTTTTTTATCGGTACATCCGTAGTTGTTGCATGTGAACTTTATTGGCTTATGGTCTGCCGCCTTTCGTTCTTTTTTCCCTTCACCTCAAATGGCAGCTGTGCCAGTGAAAAATACTCACTTGAAGGGTAGCGGTAATAGCAATCCTATGGGGGTTATAGAATCACTCACTGTGGCACTTGCCAAGGAAAACAGATTTTAAGCTCTAGAGTCCTGCCTGTGGGAGGTTGCTGCAGAAATTGCACTGATTTAGTGCATCTCTTGGGTATTCTGGCCTTGGCCTCGTCTTGCTGATTCCCCTCTTCTCAGGAGAGGACCAGCTGGTCCGCTCCAAGTCTTCTCACAAGGCTGGACTTGAGGGAGGCCTGTACTGCTGTTACACGGTTGTGGGTAGTCTTTCTGTTGCCTTGCATGACCTGTCTGGGTTGTTCTGGCAAAAACTAGAGGTAGCTGAGGAGGTGCAGAAAGAATTCTTTGTTTTGTATGAATTTGCATGTTACTAGGAAGAAAAATTCTTTACTAATCCACTGATTCTAAGTTTGGATATTGAAAGTAAATATAATAACAAAATGAAGATGAGAACTTTGGATTTTAATGTATGAAATTGAGATGATAAATGTTATATGATAGACTGCCTGCTCTTTCTTATTTAATCGTATGAAATTGAGATGATAAATGTTATATGATAGGATTAAATAAGAAAGAGCAGGCAGTCTATGTCTTAATAAGAAAAAGAAAGTGCTCTGCAGAACTGCACTCTTCTCCAGGAGTCGCACTTCTTTTGCTGCATCCTAGTTTTCAGACACAGTTGATTGATTACCAACTAAACAGCTTCTAAGTTAACAAAATGTACTTGTTAAAAATCAAGAAAAAGGTTACAATTAGCTATTCTAAACCATTGCCACAGAGTTTAAATTTGCCTTTTCCTGTCACCTTTCTTCCTGGAGCAGTATGTTGCTTAGAAATCCTTGCTATTAACATGCATTTCCTGCTATTGGATCTAGTTAGTAATTCTAATTTGTGTGTCTTCAAATGACTGGGAAAATACAGAACTTTTGCTGTGTAGCTTTGATTGTCAGTCATGCAACTTTGCAGATGTCACCATGCTATGACACTGACCGTGCTTGTTTGAAGTATTTATTTTTTTCACATTAGTTTTAGCTTTGTGGTTATTTGTATTAAAGTTACCATAGTAGGAAAATCTTATGAAATTACTTCTGAAGTCAATGTTAAATTGCCATTAGTTTGGCAAGGTTGGGTCTTGCTAACGAAGCTTATCTGAATCCATTCTTCAGAGAGTAGAAAACATACAGATCTATTGTTCTTAGTTCATGAGAGAATAATCGTTAAAAATCATGTCAGTATGCTAGTGGAAAAGATCACATAAAAGATGCAAGATGTTAACAGCTTGCCCAGATTTTAGCATGTCATCCAATTTAATAAAATCTTTCACTGTTCTTGCGTAATGGAATAGTCATTAAAAATATTTCCTCTTTTTGTTACAAAACAAAACTGAAGCTATTAATTGTTTCAGATGTAGTTCCTGTTTGCATATGCCAAAGCAGTTAAATCTTAAGCAGCGAGGTAGTCACTGAATTTCAAAACTGAACTTTTTCTGTGCCATCATGCATTTTCTCAGGCGTGGAGATAGGTAGACGGCTCAAGATATATTTCATTGAAATGTCATCTAAAATTTGCTGGGAGGTGTAATTGGGTGGAATTGAAGCAGATTTGATTTAATTTTTTACTATTCTTGTTTGCTTATATGAAACATTACAAGCAGTATTGAATGTCAACTTGTAGGCGGGGAAAAATTACTAAACGGTAGAAGAACGCATGCTTCCAGGTTCAGGTGACCCACCAAGCTATCCTGAATCCCTGTGTCACTCTCTTGAAGGATAAAAGTTTGTATTACAGTGAGGAAAGTGGATGTTGTAGTTCTTGATTATTAACCCCCTCCATGTGAGTTTTCTTTTCTCCCTTATTTTTGAAAATTGTATGATCTCTAGAAAGTAGCATGTCAAAGAAAGTGGCATTTGGGGAGTACAGTGGAGTTTAGCAGTGCTATAGCCTTCCTACTCTGTGTCCGTCCTTCTTGCTAGTCCTTCTTGCTAGTTTCGACAGCTCCATTAATGTTGATTTGTATTAATACTATTATTTGTGTAACAAAGCACACCAATCTATCATTCCACCTCCGGGTTCCTGTGGCATTACTTAGTCACTGAAGCTTTGGTGTTGAGCTGTATGTCGTCACCAGTGTTCCTCGTTAGAATTGCAGCATGCCTCATACATTCGTTTCCCTATTTAAGCAATACTATTAAATGATAAAGTATAAACTTACTTCTTGATTTATAGAAGGTGGTTATACTTAGCTTTTTAGGGAGTTGCACAGTAGTTAGTATCATCTATTGGTTTTTTTTTTCTCGTAGCATCTATTAGTTAGCACACTTTCTGTTGTCCTTTTTCCAACAATTGTTTTAGAGTCCATCATCTATGCTGGAAGGGAGGCAATATTTGAAGAAATGCTGTTGCTAATATTAAATAACTGAGATATGTTTTATGTTCCTGGACTGACTGACTGATGAAAGGACCAATAACACCTAAATTGGGGGGAGGGAGAGGGGAGAAGAAGAAACTAGGTGTAAGTAGTGATTGATTTATAAATTATTTTTTTTTTATATTCTGCTTATCTTGTACAAAACTATTATTTTAAAATGCAGGGAGGAGTGATAACATGAAACAACTCTGATAACTAATAAACTTTTTAGATTCTGCTTCATATGTTTACTTT